TGGCCAAAACTTGCAAAACATTCGTACTCATCGTGTGTTGAATCTGACCATCTATCACGTGCAAGGTTCGGCTCAGATGAAACCTCTAACCTCGTGCTCGTAATGGGTCTAGTTTGAGGTCAATTCAACGTGCGGGCATCATGATTTGGCCGCTTGATCGAGGCGCGCTCCTGTTGGAAAATCTGCAACCTTACCTTGAATCACAATTTTCTCTCTAGTTTTTTTCCTAGCTCGGGCACGACATGGGTCGTGCCACATATCGAAATGCTCGAGTTGATGAGACAAACATGCTCCCAAAATTTGAGCTTGATCTGACCTAAGATGAGAGAGATATGTCCTTCCAATGTTCAGCCCGAAACTTAAGAGCACCGTTTCCATTAGTGGAAACTGGTTCACTGAAGGGTAATAGCGTGAGGCCTACCCGTTTTGGGTAATTTGGCCATAACTTAGTCCAGAAACATCTGATCAAGCTAAAACTTGGTCACTAGGGGTTTTCGAACGTTTTGGATCCAATGTAAGTAGTCACACAATCATTTGACACTTCAGTGATATGGTTGTAGTGATAAGGTTCATTTTCACAGTGCTAGAGGCCTATTTCAAATATGCTTCTTTGTCTGCACTGCCTTAAACTTGTCGGATCGCTACGAAACTTGGCAGGTGTTCTTAAGAGACCCTTGGGCACGATCTTGAACATTCTTAAGCTATTCTGATGCTTTTGAAAATTTCACTTCTGGATCAGGGTTTATTGACCTATGGCTTCCATAATCCACTGGCATTTTGGTACCCTGCGGCCCTTGGTTACGAGCTGTTTTCTCCTTATTCACATCAGGGATACAAGTATTGAAAAAAAAATACCTTGAAACACTCATTTCTCTTAAAACCATTTGACATAAACACATAGTCAAATTTCTTATGTCATTGTTTAGGTTCTTGTTTTAGTCCATAAAGATATTTAACAAATTTACAAATTTTATTCTCATGATCTAGCATTACAAACCCTTCAAGTTTTTCTATATATATATTTCTTCATCTAAGTCACCATTTAATAACGCAATTTTTACACCCATTGATGTATGACTAGATGATTGATAGAGGCTATTGCTAAGAGCAATCTAATGGTAGTAATTTTTTCCACATATGTATATGTGTCAAAATAATCAATGCCTTCTTTTTGTTTAAAACCTTTAGCAACTAACCGTGCTTTATATTTATTATTAGAACCATTAGAATTCATTTTTCTTTTAAAAATCCATTTACAACCAATGGGTTTAGAACTAGGTGATCTACTAATTTCCATGTTTTATTAGCTATTATGGAATCCATTTCATTATTAATAGCTTCTCTCCAAAAAATTGCATCTTGATATGCCAAAGCTTCATTTAGAGATGTAGGATCTTCTTTCACATTTGAGATTATAGGTAAAGAATTCATAATTTTATTTTGATTAGCCTTTAACAAGATAAATATAAAAGTCAGATCCAAAGTTGTAAGATAGATCACCTCTAATTCTCTTACTTCTTCTTGGTTATATTATTTCATCATAATTATTTTCTACACGTTATCTATCCACATTATGATTATTTTCATGATTATTTTCATTTTGCATACGAATTAACTCATTCAATTTACTTTACAAGTGAGTTTTTCAAAAAAGTTCAGCATCTCTAGATTCCATTATTGTGTTAGAATTTAGATCCAAAAATCTATAATCTTTACTGTTTTGAGAATATCCCACAAAAACACATTTAGATGTTCTAGGACCCAATTTATTTCTTTTAGGATATAGAAGTTTAACATATGCAAGACAACCCCATAATTTGAAAAAAAATTCAAAAAAGGTTTTTTATCAAATTAAAGCTCATTAGGGGTCTTATCACTCTTTTTATATGGAATTCTATTCCAAATAAAGCATTCTGATAATAAAACTTCACTCCACAAATTCAATTGGCTACATACACCATCAATGGCTATAAATTACATGCACTTTAACTCTCTTGATGGCTCCTATTACAACCTCCTTTTTCCTCCATGTTATCAACGACTAGATGACCGTTGATATCCCATACGCATCAACGGCTAGATGACTGTTGGATCCCCCTACGAGCTGGGCTCACAAAAAGATAACGAGCCACAAGCCCGACCCACATACGTACTCGAGCGAGAGGTATCTCATGTGTCAAAGTGAAAAGTGTGTCATCAAGTGTCATTGCACCCTCGCACACACACGCATAGCGGCCTTGCCCTCACACATGTACATGCACATGCACACACACAGACACACGTGCCCATACACGTCGCACGATTCGCATGCTCCCCATATGTCTTTCTCTCTCTTTTGTAGTTAGAGTATATTGCATAGGAATACGTGCTCTTAAATATAGCTCAACAAACTCTCTTCTCTTCAATGTGGGACACAAACCCACATCTTCCTCTCTCTACAAACGCATTTTAGGAAAGAACAATAAAACCAAAGTGTTGTTTTGAAATACACTTAACCATTTTTCAAACCAAAAATACCAACAATTTGCACTCTTATCCTCCAACTTCCAAATCTTAATTTCTTTTTATTTAAAACCATGAATAAAATCTTGTATTATTTCAAATAGACTCTTTAATAATTGGAAAAAGTTTATATAAGGTTTAACCTTAAAATGTAGAATTGCAAATGCACCTCAAAAATCCATTGAAAAATGTTGTTTTAATATTTTTCAGCCCTCTAATTGATCATCTTGACATCGAAATGTTCGAATGTAAAAAAAAAACGATGTTAAGTCTAAAATAGTGCATCTTGTAATGACCGTTCATTTTCAAGATTTTCATATGTTTATAGTGTTACTTGATTTTAACTATTTTTGGAGTTTAAAATTTTATAATAAGATATGAAAATAGATTATTAGATAATCCTAAAAACCTTTTACACCAAAATTACATGTTATATTAAAATTTAGAAGTACGCCTTAATTGGATTGTTTAAGGTTGCAACCTTATGGAAACCGCACCCCTAGTAATTTAATTCAACTAAAGACATTTTTCCCAAGTCTGCTTTCATACTTTAATAAACGTACCATATGTCTCATTAAATAAGGTGACATGCGTCTCCATTCACCTTTACACATAATGAAGGGATCCAGTGATATTTGTCTAAAGAACTTCCTCTTTCGGTAAATGTCACAATTTTCCTTGGACCTTTGATACAAATTACGAATTCATGACCTACCATTCTCTACAAATTGTGCACCAAGTCCCGGTCCAGTTCAACAGAAATGCCTTCTCCCATAATGATCCACTCAACAAAACACTAGTATAACAAGTACAAGGCCAGTACATCACCCCTAGTGTTGGACCATGTAGGGCCACGTACGGCCCTTATGGCCCACATGAGATCCATTAGCCATTTGGACCTCACATGTGCCATTATTTCTCTGTGTTTTCCAAAAAAATGATTCATGCCCAAGACCTTACGCTCCACATGCCTAGGCCTAGGCGGCTGTTTTGGGTAGATGTACTTGGGCGGGCGTTGAGGTGGATGGGGATGTAGGTTTTCTTTTTAAAAAACAAAAAACCAAAATGATAATAGAGGTAATTTTGATCTCCAAAGGTTTAAATAGGTTATAGGGGTTATTTTCAACCCGCAGTTAAATGAATAATTCCGTAAACCCTCAATCTCTTAGCTACACCTATTTTTTTAAATCAAAAGTATTTTTGCGGTTTGAAGAAGCTTCCTAAACTATTCCACTTATTGTGAAATATGCCTCTTTCTGATAATCAAAAGTATTTTTAGTGGTTTGAAGAAGCTTTCTAAACTTTTCCATTTACTATGGAATATGGAGTGTTGGAGACTATTACTAATACATATCTTATAAGACTTTTTAAATTTTGTCTGGTTTAAATTTAAAATTTTGAACAAGTTTATTCTCAACATGCAATATGTCATATGTTTATATAGTATAAAGTATGTTCTAATATTTTCAAATGCAATAAATTAAAAAATTGATATAAATATATGTACATATATTATCTATCTATAAAATTGTACTATAGGGCACCCAAAGTTCTGGGCACTGGGCGCTAGGCTGGCTGTCTAGTTTTTTTTTAAACCTTGGTCATCCTTTGTCATTGTTTAATTGTTTCCATTTTCCACCAATTTACATTGTAGAAAAAGTTTCTGAAAATATCAAAAATACTTTAAAATCATATTTCGTTATCATCCATCAAGTTAAGTTAGTTCATGTTTCCAAAAAAAAGTAGAAAGCGAATTTCGGTAATCAGGGGTTCGATCTTTTATTGAACTACGGCATTCCATACGGCCCATAGTACACCCTACCACCACACTCTCAAACCAACCCAAAGGAACCCATGGCCCACAATCACGTTACGTCCTTAGGACCATGCTCCGACTAGTGCCGAAATTCACTATACTAGACTTGAGTTACGATGGTGAAAAGTGGTGTTTTCAATTTGTATGCGTGCTAACTTCTTTTTGGCCAAACTTATGCCAACTCTTCTGTTAGATGAACTTTTAAATTTTGATCAAGCTTTATTGGTTAAAACAAAGTTGTTGCATTTCTCACACTGCTTAAGACAAAGCAGTTGTATCTCTCATTGTGTCTTAAGTCTGTGAGAGACCTTCTGCCGTAGTTGGCCCACTTTTTATCAACCTTTAACCGTGCTTAAGACAAAATAATTGTGGTTTTTTAGCATACTTAGTCAAAGCCTTTATCAAACAAACTGTGGCTAATATAGAAGGGTGCGGTTTGTATAGAGCCTAAGCTCTAAACAATCAAATTAGAGCCTATTGAAAAATGTGATTTCAATACTGGAAATCTTTGTAATAGCCTTAAAATATATTTTTATTTTTATTTATAAAGTTTAAAGCTTCAAAAATAATGTAGATCGACAGGTCTATGAAACTTGAAAATCTTGAAAATTGACAGTCCAAAAATACGTTACAAAATACAATATTTTCAAAACTTGAAATCCATTTTTTTCTCATGTCCATGCATCTTGATGTCGAGATGATCAGTTTGAGGATATTTGGGCATCAAAACAACGACTTCCAGTGAAACTTTTGTAGTAGGCTCCAATTTGATTGTTTAGAGCCTCGGCTCTATATAAAAGACCATTACTGAGGCTGCCCTAGCTCCTTATCAACCTTTAACTTCAGTCAAGAAAAGTTGTATTTTCGGTTCCGGCCAAGTTTCTGAGAGACCTTGTCTCCACTTTTGTCCATCGTACACCATTAGAAATCATTCTTCAGGCCTTTTTCTCCCGTGTCATGTTTTGCTTCGGTGAACTAGTGCCAGTCAAACTTTTCAGAGGCCCTTTTCTTCCAATGTTTGGTTTTCTCGCCGACTAACTATGGAAATCTGCACAACGAGACTAGTTACTTTTTATACAAGAAGATCACAATGATAGATGATCATTAGATTTGAAATCAGGTTGTCAAGAATGTAGATAAGCACAAATTCAAATAAATGTTTTTGAATGTTGTGACACTTTCAGTTAGCTTTCATCCAAGGGTACAGTTTGTATAGAGCCGAGGCGCTAAACAATCAAAATAAAGCTCACCTTCAAATAGTATAAAAAAATGTAGTTTCAATACTCGAAATCTTTGTAATGGCCTTAAAATATATTTTCATCTTTAATTATAAAATTTAAAGCTTAAAAAATAGCGTAGATCGAGCCAATTTATAAAAACTTGAAAATCTTGAAAATTGACAGACCAAAAATGCGTTACAAGATGCACTATTTTCAAAACTTGAAATCCATTTTTTTCTCATGTTCATGCATCGTGATATTGAGATGATCAATTTGAGGATATTTAAACATCAAAACAACCTCTTCTAGTGAAATTTTTCAGGTGCGCTCTAATTTGATTGTTTAGAAACAATCTCTTCTAGTGAAATTTTTCAAATGCGCTCTAATTTGATTGTTTAGAGCCTAGGCTCTATATATATATACTTTTTCCTTCATCCAGTGGCTAGAAATATTGTGAACTCTTTATACTATAAATAAATACTCGTATAGTATAAAATACCTCAAAGTTTCAATCAGCAATCATTCATCATGGTTAACTGAAAAACCCACATATATTAAGATTTATCCAATAGTTCTCATTGAAACTTGGACGGCACCAAAGCTTGTCTCAAACATGCAATTCCAATAACATACACAGGGTGTCCTCATCACGACCTATTTGCATTTTTGGATTTTTCAAATGAGAGACTGAATACTTTGAAGATAGTGAGAGTATCTTTTGCCTCCAAATGCAATAGTTTAGAAAAAGATGTCCTTTCAAGCCACCATGAGTTCAAATTACGCTTCTGGTACTGATTACCACAAATTGCAGCGGGCCAAGTTTTACTTGGGACTTTAGACCTTGATCTTTTCACCTTGTCATGCAACTTTGCCTCATTCATAATTTTTTATCTGAGCTTGGGTTTAGGGGGCAGCAGCTGGGTTCTAATAGCACTACGTCTCAAGTTCTATTCCTACGGGTAAGAACCCTATATCCTCCAAACTAACTAAATAAATAAATAAGTACTTTTTTATCTTGGTTACTACCCACCATTATACGATTTTTTCCACAAATAAACTTGCAACCACCCCAATATTTTAACCACCCAAAAAAAAGGAGTTTCACTTTCGAGGACCCAATGCCAACAACTTTTATCCTTTTGGCCAACTAATTTTACATGCTGAGAATCAATCCGTTAATAACAAAAGCACAGAGGTGCCATCGTGCCCTTGGGCATGATCGATTTAGTAGATCTCTTTGGCATGAACTTCGAATGTTTGAACATAAATTAATGGAAAATTATTGTGCGCCTCATGATATGAAACACATTTAAAACCACTGGAACCACATTTCTGCGTTAGATTCAGTCATTTACAACTTCCAAATCGTGCAAATCTGATTATCTATGACGAGGAAAAATGAAGGGTGCAAAAAGAACATCTTAATAAACTACTTTAAAAGCTTAAAAAAATTATATGTTTTCAGATTGATTATCATGGTGGTCGAAATCATCGACATGTGAAATTATGGATCCAAAGTCTATCTCAAAGATATATTTTAGTAGAGGAACCACACGCCTAGGTGCTTCGGCTGTCGTTACCAAAATATTACATCGATTCAATTAGTTAAACATCCAAAATACCATTAACTTCAATGCACAATGGATGATGTCCCCAAAAAGTGCAATTTGAATGATAGCTACACATAAGATCTGCTAAATACCCAAATTCGAAAAATGGCGACAAATAAGATGGGTATTGAAGTGTATCTGCAACAGCTTCTGTCTACTTTGGTTGTAAAATTCATTAAGAAAAAATAACAAGATGGAGCTTCTAATACTAGATGAGATTTAAAAAACCGCTAAAGAAACCAAGGATATCACGCAAAGCAAATACTGTGCCATTCAACAAGCCATCTCATATTTTTTACTGTTCTGGATTATAAGCGAGACTGTCAGGGAATGGACACAGGGTAAGAACTTTTTATCTCTTCTATCTACAGAATAGATTTCTGTCAGCAGCTTATTTTCCTTTCTCGACTGCAGTGTCTAGTATACACTTTTGTCTTTTCTGTTATTTATTTTTCTTTTGTGTGATACAACAACAGAGCTTCCAAATATGTCAAACATCCAAGTGACACTCATGTCTACCCTTGCTTAATTTGGAAATTTCAGAATTAACCAACCTCCTATAGACTTCAGAGCAGGAAACCAAAAAGGTTAATGTAACATCTTCCCATACAAAATAGAAAAATAAAGAGTATTAAGACACACTATACCACCATCACATGTTTAGCTGAAACGAGAAAACTGTGATGAATTAGCTATCCATCACCAAATACAGAATAGCAAGTATGCATGAGCTTCTCACCTATATTTCATACAAAAATTTGTCAACTCGTGTAGCAGTTCAAAACAAGCGGTATAAAAGAGAGCACGAGAGGAGAACAAAAACAGAAAAAAATTATATCACTTACATGTTCTTTTTGCTATCTGAATGAGACAATCTTCGGTCTACAGACTGCAACTGGCTCCTGAGGTTCTGATTGTCTTCCAACAGACGATCATACTCGAGAAGGAAGCCCTCTGACTGCTTCCTCAAAGCCATAGCATTGGTCTCAGCTGTCTTTGCCTCTCTATCCTTTGCCTCAGACTCCAACTGCAACTCCTTCACCTTCTCTTGCAAAGCTGCTATGTCTTCTTCCAATGCCCTTCTGTTACTATTACTGTTATCCCCAGAACCTCCAGCACTTTTTCCCTCTCCTGAACTTCTGATCTGCTTCCTCAATATACGCAGTTCCGTCATATGGTGGTGCATTCGGTCGATCATCAGCGTAAGGAAAAGGGCATATCCTGTATAATATAAACACATTTGTTTACATGCAAAAAGTAGAGCTAAAGCAAACATAGATCCAGTAGTTAGGTAAAAAAAATTGACTGCTTTAGCAAAAGGCTGCATGCATATGAAGCCAAGTCCAACTTAACTAAATGAGCAATACCACCACTGCCATAACCGAAGACTTGTTTTCAGAGGTCATACAGAATTAGGCAACAAAATCATCAAAAGCAAAATGGGAAAGAAAACAAGATGCATCTACACCTGCTACTTAACCAATTTAAGTGACAAAAGAATATATTTGGTTCTTTCTATGTGCCCCTTCACTACTTTTAAACAAATGAAATTAAAATCCTGGGATATAGCGAAATATGATGCCAGGCTCTACACCTGTAAGATAACCATTTTAAATCTTCACGAAATAATTAGCTGTCTACAGGTTGCACTAACAGATAGTAGAACTGAAAGAAGAGCACAACCATTTGTATTTTGTGCTAATAGTGGGCAAGCATGTTCAAGACAAATATAAGGATACTATGACACGGTAATCAATAAATAACTAACTAAAGTAGCTGAAGGATAGGAATTGAAAGGTTAATGAAGAATTCAATACTTATGTAGCTCCCTACAGAAATAATGGTAAAATTGACCATCTAACAGCTATCTAGCATTAGTATTTCTTCTCCAATTTGACATGGTATCAAAGCAACCTACGGTTTCCAGTTTTTCTCAGTTTTTGAGCAAATAAACTTGGAGAGGTCAATTTGATCACTCGAATGGTTGGCAGAAGATTGATAAAGGTCTACATTGTCAAGATCTTCTTATCTTCCTACACTTGCTGACATCATCATTGGCATTAGTGACCACGTACATGCTGACATCATCACTTGCGCAAATCAGGCAAAGAAGGCCACATTCTTAGATGAATTTATTAGTTAACTTTTCATTGTCAAGATCATATCTTCCTACACTTGCTGACATCATCGTTGAGCGACCATGTACATGCTGACATCATCACCTTGCTCAAATCAGGCCAAGGCGGCCACATTCTTAGATGAATTTATTATAGTTGACTTTTCCTGAATTTTTAAAGTCCTTTTTTGAGGGTTTTTGAAAGGTTTGAAGGTGACGGACCACCAGTAGCCATTTTTGAGTTTTCTAACTTTTCCAGCATTGAAAGCAGCTTAAACGACTTGAATTCTGACCATTTTGAGAGGGGCAAATTTTTCACTCTATTTATAAGGTTGGATAAGATCAAAGCCGGATCTAAAGATTTCATTCGCATTTCTCTCAGCCACATGTCCTGTTTCTCTTCATCTTTCGAGTTTTGGCCCATGTTGCTCAACATTTGGGCATTTCATCATTATGGATCTGGTAAGGTTTTTGGTCATTGCTTTTGATCTTCTATTACTTTGGTGAAATCATCTTCTTCAAGCTACAATCGAGGCTTCTTTCTCACTACTTTGTTTGTATTTTCCAGCCGACAGTCATGTTCCCTATGTCACATATTCCACTAATACCATGCCAGTTCTTTCATTCAACATCTTCTTGTTCGTTTAAGTGTTTCACCTTAAACCCTCCAAGTGTTTCACCTTAAACCCTCCAAGTGTTTGCAAGAGTTCCTCAATTCAACCAGAATGCTGCTGAACATCATATCAAGAGTTCCTCAATTCAACCAGAATGCTGCTGAACATCATATCACTCGTTGGCTCCAACGCCATTGCAATCCTCACATCCCATTGCTATCAAACTTGGTGGCTCCATTTACACATAATGGTCATTTTTGATGATGAATTCCCAGTCTAGAAAAAACTTACATAGGTGCATTGGTCAAGAAACCTGCAGTTTATTGGATGAGTGGCATGTTACAAATGCCAGATTTTGACTTCGATTGTCAACACGGTGGACCCTCCACTACAGTCCAACTCACCAAACTTCACACACTAAAAGAAGGATGGGACTATTTGCACAGACACTATGTGCACAACTCCACTCAGGAATATCAGATTGAGCTTGAGACTCGGGCAGGAAGACAGGGCAGTCACTCTTGTTAGGAGTTTTAGCCACTCATGATGAGGTATTGGGACCAATTAGCTTTGATGGACCCTTATTTCTTACTCAAGTGTGAGATCAACTTTCGTTGCTATCATAATGGCCAGTACCTTTATCAATTTTTTGTGGTGCTGAGAACTGAGTGTCAGTAGATCAGTGGCTCTATTCTTCAAAGGATCTTTCTGCCTACAGTCGATTCTCAATTCCATCCGCATCGAGCTCATTGCAAATAACACCAGATTCCTCCGGTGTCTCGCCAGCCTTCAATTCCCAGAATCATATAGTGTTTTAATTGTTGCACAGCATCACTAGTCTTCCACACAGGATCCCTCTTCATTTCAGCAAGAGTGCCGGCCCATTAGCTGTTGCCATTGTTGGGCCTTTAGTCATTTGAAAAAGATTGCCCTAATTTGAAGGCCAAGGGACAGTCTTTTGTGAGCCAGCCTCAGAGAAGTCATCTTCATCAGACCGTCACTGCTAATATACCAGAGAGACAGGACATTAGTCAATCTGCTTCTTCTCTTGACAGCATTGTCACAACCCTTGTCTTCACCCCTGACCAGCCACAGCATCTCCTATAGGGCATGACTAGGAAGTCGTCCTAGTTCCCCCAGCCATGTCCGCTGCTTCCTCCTCAAGTACATCTTCTTACCCTGGATCATTGATTCAGGGGCTTCACATCATATGGCCATAGATGACTCTCTTCTAGAACATACATACTGAAAATGGTTCCCCTTTGCCTGTTACACATCTCAGGACCATAGATTCTCGTTCATATCCTTCTGGTCAACTTACTATTCCGATGTTTTCTGAGTCCCCCGTCTTTCTATTCATCTTCTATTAGGCAGCTTGCCAACCTTGGTCATGACACTCGCTTCTCTTTTGTGTTATGAAGGATCGGCATTCAAGGCGAGTGAATGAGATGGCCATAAAAGTGGTCCCCTATATCACCATGAGCTTTTCCAAGTTCTTTTCTATAGGGTGAATGCTTCTGTGAGTTCCTAATACAGTATCTTCATCAGCAGGCTTGACAGTTCTTAATGTTTCTAGTTCTACATCTTCATTTTCATTATGTCATCGTGGACTAGGTCATGCATCAAGATCTAGACTACTGTATATGTCATCATCACGTGTTTCAGGACATTTTTCATTTCATGATATTTCTCATTGTATGGGCTGTAAGTTGGCCAAGTACCAGGCCCTTCCATTCTTAAAAGGGATATAGCTTCTCATTTTCCTTTGGACCTAGTACACTTCGATGTTTATGACCCTACTCTTCCCACAAAAGGGAGATCCTCTTACAATGTTACTCTTGTATGTTGGGGAATGTAGCCTTCAAAGGCCTCGAGAATATATAAAAACTATGACTACAGCCACACTTTACACAATGGGAGGGAAGTCTGTTGGGATTTGAGAGGCATGCTTCATAATGCTTGTTGACTCACTCGGGTTTGGCGGTCTAGGCCCAGAAAATTTGAGTTTAGAAAACCCGTAGCTCTAGGGATAAGGCGAGGGTTTGTAGGGTCATCTCTTGATCAAGTGGGAGAGATGCTTAGAGTGGTTTTTGGCCAGAAGGAATACATACTTCTATATGTGGTAGGTGGCTTGTGAGGGCAAAGGCCAAATCCTCATCATTACCACCGGAAGGCATGTACATATAATAGACAAATTTATGGGAAGCAACCTGAAAGGGCGAAACATGTGCATATGCTGAAGAGAGGATCCCCTACACTACTGCCATAATATATATATATATCCATGTGGGACATGACTTCACCTTAGGGGGGAACCTGGATTCCACATACTAAGCTGGTGTTCTCAATATTTATAGGTTAGCTTTGATGGTCCAATTATGAGCCTCTACGATGGACTGTGGGGTATGGGTCCTATTGGGCTAGTTTGAGAAGATAGCCTGTGGAGCACAGGAACTAGCATAGGTGGATTGCCATATACAGTCACATATACCTTTCCCAATGGATGTATATCTCTTCTACGTTTGTTTAAAAACGTCTTAGAAAATGTATTAATTATAAAAGTTAATTATTTGGAGTGCCCTACATATTTTATTTTTGCATCAGAAATTTTTAATCAAACATGTTTTTCAGCATTAAAAATTTGTGAGCCCTTTCGAAAATACCAAAAGGTCTTTAAAACCTTTCATATGGGCACTAAAAAAACAAAGACTCACGTGATGCCCATATGCAGAAGTGGGGGCTCTCCTAAAATGGGACATGGGGGTCCTATGAGTCTCCCATAAGGTTTGGGAAACCCTAGTATCTCAGTCTCCTTCCAATTCTGTTTGAGAATTAATTCCATATGTTTTCCTGAAAAATTAGGAAACATCATGGATGACTTGCTAACTAACCCCAGCCATGTATACTCACTAATGCTAGCATTCAAGACATATACAATGTCATCAAGTGTCTCCGCCAAAACATTTGAGAAAGATGTCACAAATGATACACGACCTGAGTGCAACAGGCAACATGCTAAGTGAGGAGCAATAGATTTCGGCAATGTTTAGATCATTTCCTCAATCTTGAGAGCAGACAAAGATTATGATAACAAATGAAGAAACATTTTCTCATCTATCTCATCTTCTGGAGTTGGAGGCAGAGCATAGTTCTGCTAGTGAAGCGTGCTCACATCTTTGCCAAGACTCAAACCGAAGGGTCGTAAGAAATCCAAAGGCAAGCCTGAGGGCAACGATCCTCCAAGAAAAAGGAAAGAAAGACTGAGGGTGCAAAAAGGCAAGAATGTTGAACGAAGCGGAGGCAACTACAATGCACCTAGGGACAACTCAGCCATGGCCTGCTACAATTGCAGGAAGACATCACTTCACTCATGAGTGCACCGAGTCAATGCAAGTACGAATAATTAATTCCAGTGAGTTTGATAGTGTGTGCCTAGACGTGTTAGCTGCTCATCCGCTTTCTAATGTAAGGATTGTGGATTCAGGAGACGA